TCTTTGATTATATATAATATGGATTGAGCTAACTGAATATATCTACTAACAAAAATGTTGCTCAAGGTGAATAGACGCAGATGGAAAGCGATAATGTGAAAGTGTAACAAAGATAGATATATTATATGTCAGTACGCTTTCTATATCTATCTCACTTCTATCAGTACACCCATTATATGGCAGTACGCTTCTATGTCTATCTCGGTTCGATCACCTTGCGCAAGCTATCTCTCTCGTTGACTCAATCCATATTATATATAATCAAAGCTACTATATCATTAAATAATTGAGGGAAACTAAGGTAATAATAGATTTATGTTACCGCTAGAGAAGACACTTCAATTCTCGCTTAACATGATCTTGGGATTACGCGCGCCATCCGTAGCCACTTACGTCACGAAACACTCTTGCCCCTCGCCCACAAACTAAAATCAAAGTATTGCAGCATAGGAACTTAGACAACTTTTAATATATAAACCTTGGACGGCACTTCGTTTTGTGACCTCGATTTAAAAATCCGCCATCTTATCGCGAGTTATTAAAAGCACAGAATCAAGGTCCGTTGAGTAAACATACTGTATAAGTTTATCCAACTTCCTATAAACGCTATTGTTATAAACGTATCCATCTATAGAGACGTGTACTTAAACCGAAATGATTCTAGCTCTAGGTATAGTGTTAGTTCTATACAGGGTGATCAAAATAAGTGTTCCAAGTTGTTTCCGATATTTTCTATATACAATTAGGCTCGCTGAATCGATGATGTCCCACTAGCGCGGCTTAAACTCGGTTGGCGGATTGTCTTGGTAGCAGTTTGTATCTGATTTTGCAATTCTTGCTCAGTATTAACTTCTTCAGCTGCAATGTTAAATGCCAGTGGTGTCAATTCTAAACAGATGAGATAGTTTGGTGTTGCTGTGTAAGATGATTTCTGGAAGCAAAAACTGTACGGTTTAGAGATGATATGATAACGCGTCCTAAACCTAAGGGTGTTGACGAATTGTTTTGGCAGCAGTTTGTATCTGATTTCGTAATCCTTACTCAGTAGTCACTTCGGTGACATACACTATACTTTTTAAGTGACTCCAAAAATAAAAATCAAGAGATTGAGGTTGGGTGATCGAGATGGACTACCTCGACCTGACCGTCTTCCGGGAAGCACCTTATCTAGATATCGCCGCATATATCGGATATCTATAAAGCTAAAAATCTTTCACTACAATTTTTTTCACCTATTACCCATTATTTGTCTCGAGCAGTAAATCCCCAAGTGTTAACAGTGTTGGTGTAAAACCGAAGACGCACGGCTGAACCCGAAACTTTTTAGTTCTAGGTCTAGTGTTAGTTCTAGGTTTAATTGTTATTAAGCGCTAGATTGTTGTATATTTTTATTGAAGTAGTTGAAAGATTAAGGGCCGGTTGTACCACCTCCCGATAAATTTATCCGATAGATAAATTGGCGCACTTAGGGCCCGTTGTACCACCTCCCGATAAGTTTATCCAATAGATAAATTGGCGCACTAAGGACCGGTTAGTGAGAGTAACCAATGAGAGCGCTTAAAACCGCTGTATCCATGGTAATTATCCGTTAGATAGTTTATCGGGAGGTGGTACTACCGTCCCTAAATATACGTAGTAGAAAAGTACGTATATTAGATTATATAGTAAAACTAGAATCATAAGATCCATATAACCAATACACAGCGAACCTTGGCACAGAATAACCCCAGAAGTGACACTAGCGATATCCCGCCAAGTCTTTAACCACCAATAGCAACATACCTTCATAACTCGTTATAATATGGTGCCAGATTTGGGGGTTACATGGTTACTGCATAGGTTATCTTAAGACATGCATGGATTTAGTGGCGCCAGTAGTTGTGCCAGTTCTATTAGCACGCCAGTAAAGATTTACACTACATGTGCAACAACAAAAATTAGTGATACGCCTGTTTCATTTTCAAAGTATATTGCACAGTACGCAATATGTCGAGTGAACTTTCCGAAGCATGCAAAATAGTCGCAAAACTTTTAATGGAAAAAAAATAAAAGAAATACAGAAAAAGGAACGACGAAGAGGACGTGTCTGGGTTAAACCGTGGATTAGTCGTCGACCTATTTTGGGTGCTTCTGCAAAACTGCAAAAGAAAAAAAAATAATACGTAAATAAGACGAAGTATTCTCTTCCACTTAATCCAGAATATATAGAAAATATATGCAGGTGTATCTGAATGACTGCAACAAACTTCAAGGGGTGTTTCTTTAGTGAATTTTAAGGATACTTTGATATATGAACCATGGGCGACTTTGGCTCCCCTAAGAAGCTACACCCCTCCAAAAAATGGCGGAAAATTTTGCTTTAATTTTTCTTTCTCAAAAATCATAAACGTTAGGAAAATGAAATTTGGGGAATATGTTTAACTCATAATAGGGCAAGTTTTTGACCCTATTTGTACTTTCAACCTACCCTTCTAAACTACTAAACGTAACCACCCCCTTTACATTTTTGCTAACATTTTTTACCTCTGGGCTATAGACGCTGCAAATCGATGAATACTCAAAACTTTACTACTCATCAGTTTTAGATATCATTTTTGAATAGTCAATAAAACATTTAGAACCGAACAAAAGAAAATAAAGCAGTATTACCCCTTAAACATGATATTGTAAACATCTTTGTCATAATTTGCAATCTGGTGGTGAGATACCGCAATGTATATTGATAATTCCGTACTGAACTGCTATCAAATTAATGTCTCGGCCGCAAGCGACCTCGGCAACCTTAATTATATGAAGCTGAAGATCAAACTTGTCGATTTTGCAACGACTAGTCAGAAACTGCTGAATATATACTGCGTGAATGCGTCTCCTAAGATACAAAATTTTCTGACACCTACTGACATGAAGGAACAATACTTTGGAGTAATACTAAGGTTCATCAAGGACCTAGATTTTGCCCTAAACTTTTGGAAGGATTAAGCTACAATAGATCTCATAGAGATGCATATGAAATGATGCAATTCCTGTTCTAAAAGTGGTTGCAATGCACATTCCAAAGCCTTAATTAGGTGAAATCATACACTTTCTGTCACCCGCGTTGCAACACAATGCGAACAAAATGGTGATAAAGATGCAACATCGTAATCTTGTTATATAATTATAGGATACTAAGACACTTGTATGGTATACTAAAGACACGTAATAAAGCTATTGCCTCGGCTGCAAGAGACCTCGGCTTAATTAGATGAAATCATAACTTTCTGTCACCCGCTTTGCAATACATAATGCGGAGAAACAACCACTGATTATTTGCTTATCAAATTCGTTATTTTTTTCTAATTAGAATAAAGCTACAAATAAACATTTTTTTAGTGTCGTCGAAAAAATTAAATTTACAGTTTCCTGTAAATTATAACTAAAAATATTAAAAAAAATATTTCTGATATTTGAAACAAATACATTGGTTGAACTATTTAATTTATATTTGTTTTACACAAAAGGTGGAATTTGCATTATTTCACATTTTTTATTACTATTTAATATTATTATTAAATGACTTAATAAATTGTTGATAGATGGCGCTCATATATATTTTTTTAATTCAAATAAACATAGCAACATTTGTTTTTGTATTCAAAAATTTTCTGAAGTGTCAAATTAAAAATGCTGTTTTTTAACTTTTTTATTTTTAAGAGTTTTTTAAATTTTATATAAATTTTTAGTAAAATAATTTTTAGTTATAATACCGTAATTTACAGGAAACTGTAATTTCTTGAACGACACTAAAAAAAGTTTATTTTTAGCTTTATTTTAAAACAATAAGAAATAGACCCCATATTTTTGTAATCAAAAAAAATAACGAATTTAATAAGCGAATAATTAGTGGTTGTTTCTATTTAAAAAAACAAAAATTGTCATAATATCTCTAAATCTAAAATTCATCAAATCTAGTCATCAAATTCTATGTAATAAAGTAATAATAACCAAGATAATTGCACTTGCTGGTTTTTAAGGTTTTTGGCATTAGCAGTTTCTTGAAAAACGAGATCATGACGTGTAAGCTACTTTTTTTCTAACTCTTATAGTTTCCGAGATAGCCTATTCGGACATCGAATTTGAACCACCCCTGTACAATAAATATTAATATCGGTTACCTAAGAAAATATTCGAGAAATAGTTATTTACCCAACAAGTGTATTAATCGCATTTTAATATACGATTTAATTCCAATATTTTTCCTATTTCAACAAAACAGAGAAAATCAATCTTTGAAAAATCGCCCAATTCTATCACTGGCAAACTTTAAGAAAGTCCGACCGAACTAATATAGTAGTCAATTTAGTAAATATTCTCGAATGAAATCTGTAATACCGACCACTATATCTATTCGGTAAGACTACAATAATAACTTTTGACGTTTGACACATTAAAAGTGAGGTTAGATTTTTATATTAAAATAGTTTATTAATAGGTGTCATTAATGAATGATTTTTTGATACATTTATAAATCATATAAATACACAGTCGACGGAAAAATTAATTTAAAGTTTCATTATTTCCCATTCATTTGACATAAAAAGTAGCAGTAGCGTAACCATGGCAACCAATTGTTTTGATTTAAAATTTCCAAGTGTCAAAATTCGATTTGAAACAGTTTATTGTGCGTCTATGAGATTATTGTGTTTAATTGTTTATCTATTATTGGTTATTTTTTAATTATTGACTGTTCAATAAGTAAGAATGACGCTTAACACTTTAAGCCTCAATCAACGTGATTTAATAAACTAAATTTTCTTTTTTCTTCTTTAAGGTTACACTCAAGATGTAGTTCCCAGCGCTCAACTTGGATTGTTACCAACCCCGCAGAACCCTTCACATCTACGAAGTCCCCAACACCATACAAACCACCAGCACCTTCAAAATCCTCCACAATTTCAACCCCCGCAACATATACAAAGTTCTCAACACCTTCAAAACGCTCCACAATTTCAAACTCCCCAACACTCCCGTTTTGATCCCAGATTTGATCATTATGACCACCACCACCAAAGACCCCGGACTCCTTTCAACGAACGTCCTCGAAGTGAATCAAGCACACCGTTTTTCCAACCTCCCCCAGTTCAATCCCCATTGTTACCAACACCAAATCAACCACCCCAACAATTCACTCCAAGAAAAACTTTCAACCCATTCGAACCGTTGGACGCTGAGAAAGAAAAAGAAAGAGAAGAAGACTCCTTCAATAAAAGAGATTTCAATTACGGCCGATTTGGAAGCGATCGAAGTCGTTCGAAATTCGAAAGAGGGCGTTTCGATCGGAGGTTTGAATCTAGAAGGGATCGTTTTGGCTCAAAGACGCCGCGAAGGAGTTTGGACGAAGATGAATTCAAAAATGTTAGTGTTAAATCGGAGAAAGTTGAGGAAACTTTTACCTCACCCCTAGAGGCGCTTTATTCAACACCGAAACCGGTTCTTTCCGCTTCGCAAGCTAAAGCTGCTTTGGACAAGTTTAAAATCCCCAAGAAAAAACAAGACGAGAAAAAAGTTGATGAAATTAAAGAGAAAAAAGATGATGAAAGTGATGAGGATGAAGATACACCTTTGAGTCGAAAAATAAAGAGGAGGTTGAGGATTAAGATTGATGATGATAGTGAGGAAAGCGATGAGGAAAAAAAGAAAGGTGTTGAGGAGGTTAAGAAATGTGAAGATGTTGAAACTAAAATTGATGAAAAGGTTGTGGTTGAGGAAGAAAAAGTTGAAACTACAACGAGAAGATTAAGAACTAGAGCGCCTAAAATTGAAGTGAAGAAAGTTGAGGAAGAGAAAAAAGTTTCGCCTCAAAGAAGAAGTCAAAGAGTGCAAAAGAAAAATTTGAAATATGCATGTTCCAAAGAGGTTTCTCAAAAAGAATCAGTGTCAGAAGAAAGTTTGAGTGAAATTTCTGAAAAAGAGATTCCTGAAAATAAGTTGTCTCAAAACAACGATTCATTAAAAATCGATGAAAAAAAGGAAGTGTTAAAAGAAGAAAAGGTTGAAGAAAACGAAGAAATTAGCACCGTAAAAGTCGAAGAAAAACCAGAAACTACCCAAAACGACGAAACACTCCCAGAAAAAGAAAAAGTCAAAAACGAACTCCTCGCCGACATAAAAAAGAACCATTTAAAAATGGAAGAAACCGACGTCCTCCAATTTATATTAGAAAACTATAAAAAAATCAAAAAGATTCTTAAAAGCGATAGCAGCAGCGAAGATGAGAACGAATCTAAAAAGAAAAAAGATATCAAAAAAATTGAAACGGAAAATGTTGAAGAATCAAAAGACATTCCAAAAGAAATCATCGAAAAAATCGAACCAATAGAAGATGAAAAAATAACCGAAAAAGATGATGATATCGAACTAGTAGATGAATACGTTTATAAAAATGAAGAATCCGAAAAAGAAACTAAATTGAAACCAAAAAAGATTGTTAAAATTCCGTTAAAATCAAAAAAAAATCCCGTAAAAAAAGTAATCGTTAAAAGAAAGGCGATTAATACAAGATTGGGAATGAATACAAGAACCGGTAAACACCACCAAGTTGTTGTCAAAGCTAAAAAGGCAAGACGAAGTGAATTGGATAAGCTTCACGATGATATCAAAGAGATGTTGATGGGGAATGAAATTATGACGGTCGGTGGGAAAAGGACGTGCACGATTACGAAAGATGATGAGAAGGAGAAACAAGATGATCAAGATGATGAGGATGAAGAGGAGGATGTTGAGGTATGTAACGTTTAATTTGTAACATCTTTTAATCTCCTTAAATCATATTTTTGACGTATAATTGTAGGTTAAAAATGACTTGAAGATACGAAATTTTTTAATTAAAATAATTGCAGAAATATCATTTTGAAGTTGTTTGAGGAGTTTAGAAGACAATTCAAATTTTAAGGTTAATTTTAATGTTTATTTTTCTTTTTTGAAAAATTTATGTCAATTTGACATTTAAAATTTCAATTTTAGAACGTAGATTATATTAAACGTCAATTTAAAACGTTGGTAATCCTGGTAAAAGTCACTTTGTGTTAATTAATAAAAAGTATCTTAATGATTATAATTAATATAAAAACGTGAAATTAAGTTCCCATTT